AAGGAGGAGAAGGAGGAGAAGGAGGAGAAGGAGAAGAAGGAGGAGCCCGCGGCGAGCCCTATGAGGGTCTTTAATCATGTCCACCTCCGCCACTTCGGGCCTTCCCCAGCCAGTTGACAAGGTGTCCGAGTGTGCCACAACCACGAGTCGCCGACTTTCGGCCTTTCCCCAACCATTCCACAAAATGCGGCCTGCCATGCCATGGCCCTGCGGCAAACGGAAGTGGTTTTGAGAGCTACTAGTCGGCCAAACAGCTCACACCCGTTTGCCGGAAAGGTTCCGGCCCTTCCCCTGGCCATGGCGTTTGTGGGCGCCGGACGTTGCTGCAGTCGCCCAACAGTTTCCTGATCCATTTGCCAGCCCTTCCTGTGGCGTGGTTTGTGGAGCTATTTATCGCCCAAGCAACTCGTCCAAGCGCCCTAAACATGCTCTGAACCAGGCGTTGCGATCGGGCTAACTTTCAACCATCCCAAAGCAGGCTTGGAAGCGGCCGGGGAGTTGCTTTTCATTCTTGCATGCAAGGAGGGCATTGTAATGGTCTCGCGGTCGTCCAATGGCTGGAAGAAGTGTTGTAGATCTCGCATGCTGCTACGCTCGTGATGCCCAAGTTGTGTCACAAGCAGATTGCCAACAGTCCCTTTCCACATGGTGGGAGCTTCTTTAGCCTTCTATCTCCCCGTAGTCTTGCATGTCACAAAAGCGGTAGTTTCTACTTGCGTAGCCACGAGTGCGGGCTGAATCCCTTGATTCTCTCAATAATTTGCGCTGAGACAACTGGTAGAATGAAGTTTAGCCACCCCTCTCTTCCCCACAGCCTTTCCAGGTCGTAAATTCGATTCCCCCAGGCTTCCATGTAGGTGGCAGGAAGGATCTCTCCTCTTCCCAAAGCAGGCTTGGCAAGAGGTGGGTGCAACACCAGCCTTCTTTTGGATCATGCAGAAGCAATTGCGTGACAAGGAATCTTGACTTGTTGATTTTAACCAATTCGGGTGGATCTAATTCGTAGAATCAACAAGGCAGTCCCTGCCCCAAACACGCCTTCAGGTTCTAGGATGATGGTGGAATTATGCTTTGTTTCAACATGCAAACTGTTTGGCTGTTTGCTTTGAAGGATGTCAGCGTATGGCTGTTTTTGATTTGTCCATGTGCACATGGGCATGCTCATTGCTGTGACTTTCAGCAAACTTCACTATCAACATGGGCGCTGTCATCCGCGCGAGAACTGTGTTGTCTGAATGCAGGGTCGGGCAAGATTGCTGCTACTTGCATGAAATAATGGAATAACGTTTTTCTTGATTGCCTCAATCTTCACATGCGATGCATGGGCTTGTTTGTAAAAGGGACTGGACTGGTTGACTTGATTCGAAGAGCTTTCGGCTTGCAAATTGGCTTCTGCACTTGTTCCCTTGCTTGTGGCGAGGCATGATGCTGGTGCTGATGGCGCCCTCCCCGGTTGTGATGCAAAGGCGGGCCGGTCCAGTCGGCTGAGGCTCATTGAAGGGAGGTTCTCCTGGTCCAGGTCTCAGGTATTTCCAGTTGCAACGTGGCTATTTAGGCCCCATGGTGATTGAAGATCCTTTCCATGGGCGAGAAATCTTAACTTGATATTCAGCCGCACGAATCAGGGGTTTGCGACGAGGTATGACGTGGAAACTGGGAATGACCTTCCGGCCATTTCCAGCCGAAATCCATCCGCGGCTGTTTTCGGGTTATTCTTGTTGCCTCCTTACAAGTGGACATTTCGCCGGTTGGATCGCCAAAGACGCTTGCACCGAACAACGCTTTTTGATAACATCCAATGACTGAGTCCTTGAGATTGATTGCATGGCGGCTCCTGTGCTTCTTGCGAGGGCGTGTTGGCAATGGTGGCATGATCCCCACTCGCTAAGCAATGGCAGAAGGGCTCCCGACAAGAGGCGATCGGCAGTCCCAGCTTTGCCTTGATAAGGTGCCAGGGGCTTGCACACACGGGAATCATACAATCGATTCATGAACCATTTTGGGTTTGTGGGGAAGGTGATGGGCAGGATTTTCCAGTTGTGCACAGAAATCCTGCCCATCACCTTCCCCACAAACCCAAAATACCTGCTCGCTTTGTTGGTACAAGGGAAATAGTGAACAGGAGGGTGGCCCTCCACAGTTTTCCAGTGGAGCGTGTTTGAACAGGACCGAAAGTTTGACGCTGGTCTAGCGGGAGCACAAGAGCACAAGGGGGTCCTTCCCAATTTTGCCGTGGAACATCAAACTCCAGGGGACCACTGACTCAGAGGCTGAATCTGCCAACCAACAAGGGCTTGGTCTTTGACCGTAGGTTTCGTGATGCAAAGCTTGGATGGTGAACACTTATTCGCAGACAATATTTCTGAGTTGATATATGTTTGGAAAGCCAGAAGTTTGTTATGCCAGGGACGCCGAGGAACAGCGCAATTTCTTACACTCGACAGCAATGCCTGAAGGGGTCGTCGTGGGTCTGTTTTGATTATTTGGGCCCAGAAGAAGCAACAATCCTTAAATGGTGGGCCCAAAGCCCATCGGTGGCCAACCTGTTTGTAGTTGGTGAAACTAGCTTCTCTGGCAGTGCCAGACGACTAGCAATCCAATCCAAGGCGGCCAAAATAACGTTGGACGGGTGGATCCCCAGGGCCATGGGCTTTGTAGGATTGGTAGCCCCAGAACTGATGGCTGCCAGCATTTGCAACCAGCCGAGCACGTGGACGGTTCCCAAATTTTAGGTACCAACCAGGGGACACCTCTAGCAGTGTCTCAAGTCTAACAGAACACTGGCTTGTGCATCAGGTTCTACTCCATCCCGTATGTGCCTAACACGCTGGCGATGAAGCTTACCTGCAATTAGCACTCATTGGCCAGAGCTGCCAACCGGTCCAAGCCCTTTTTGCCGGTTTTTGAGTAGCCTGTAAGAGCTTCACAAACAACTGGACTTGGAGCTGCGCAGACGTCAACATGCGGCGAGTGCTTGCGCAGATCGCTTGGTCAGCACGCTGGATTTTCGGCCATGGCTATGGACGTAGCCAAGAGGATGCCATCGGACAGCTCAGGATGGGCCACATGGCGTGCATGTTCTCGCCCTCACTGATCACTGGTTCAGCTGTCAACCGCTATGGGCCCATGAAGGCGCGTGCCAATGAGTAGCCAGGGGTTGCGCAACGGCCGGAGACCCTTCAACATACCCCGGTCCCGGTGATGGCAATGTAGCGCTCGGTCGCAGCAAATGTATTGGGTGTCCAGGTTGATGTTTGCCTTCCAGTTGCAATGGTGCTCAGAATGCCGTCAACTAATGTTTGGACATGGACATGTCTTCGTGTCAAAGTGGCATATTCGCATTTCCCCCAGCCCGAACGGAATGCTTCAAAGCTTGAAAAGCAACGCCGCTGCTTCAGAAGGATGAGTGTTTGGTTCTATGAGATTCCAGCGTCCAGAGGCTATACCTTTCGGTTTCCCTTCAAATCATAGGGAAACTGGAGAAAACCCTCCCCCCATTTTGGACAAATGCCCACGTATCTTTGTTGTGTTCAGAAGTCTTTTCACCAGTGGCTCCAATTGGGAAGCTGGCGTGCGCATTTCGGGTCGAGCTGACTCCGGCAAACCAAGTCTCGCCCAGAAGAGGTGCCACTTTCGCGACATGCTGCGCATCCTGGGCCTTGCTGCGCTGAGCCCCGTGCTCGGGGAGGAGTTTCTGAGCAAGAAGAGCGCAGGTACCTCAGCCAGGTGCTTGCTGCGGGGCTGGGCGGATGACTCGCAGTGCGAGCAGATGGTGAAGATTGCGCAGGACTGTTTCTCATGGAACCCCATCGACACCTCCAACGTGGGCAGCTTGCAGGGATCCCTGGGCGATGCCACGGAGTGTGTGCTCTACAACCTGAAGCTGAAGTGGAACTGGGCACCCGAGGTGTCAGGTTCTGGCTCCAACACCGGTGGCCCTTACGACGTGTATGGCCAGGGCAACAGCATCATCGGGGTTGACACGCCCTCGGGCAAGTGGCAGTTCATCCTGCACAAGGGCGAGGGCCAGGGTGGGGATCACGGCAGTTCCGGGACGGCGACGGCGCAGAGCTTGCACCGGGGTGACGCCACTCCGGCACAAGAGAAGGACCTGCTGAAATTCACCGAGCGCTGCTTCAGCAAACACAACGTGGACACCTCCAACTTGGGTGCCCTGCAGGGATCCCTGGGCTCTGCCATTGGCTGTGTTCTGACGAAGTGCGAGAAGAAGTGGGGCTGGAAACCGACGCTTTCCCAGTCTGGCTCCAACACTGGTGCGGGCTATGATGGCTTTGGGCTCGGGGCTACCGTCATCGGTGCAGAGACCAGCACCGGCAAGTGGCAGTTCGTTGTCCACTTGAAGTTCTAGACGCGGACCTTGCTGGAGGCTTTTGAGCAGGCACAAGCAGACGCGCTTGATAGACGACGTTTGCAACGTGCTTGCATGCATTTAATGCATGCATGCTTGCATAGGCGTGCGGCCATCGCTTTTTGAACCCATGGCGGCTTCGGAGAGGGATTGTGCACGTCATAGGATTTTGCCTGGAGGGCCGGACTTTTCAGATTTTGGCATTGCCCATGTGGTGCCTGGGCCACCGTCTTGCACACGCCAACGGCAACAGACCAGCGGCTTTTAATGACTCATAGCGGAAGCTACGCAGCCACCGGGCTGCCCACTCCGGCATAAAACGCAAAACCGGCGCAAAGCTTTGAGCTTGCAGATCACAACCGCATTAGGTCCATTTGTGTAACCAAAAATGGTGGTGGTTGTTATTTTTTGGTTTCCTCCAAAAACAACGCCCCAAAAAGGGAACCCTCAGACAGAAGCACATCCATATTTCGTTTTGGATAGGTGATTATGCTGGGGGTGCTGCTGGGCTTCAGCTGTGCGCTGCTGCTCTGGTGGGAGTCCGCGCGGGGGGGGGGGGGGGGGAAATTTTTTGAGCACGGGGGGGGGGCTGCGGTGTTGAATTTTGTTGAGGGGGGGTGAGGTTTACACAGGATTGTTCATCATGTCTTGAGTACCCCAAAGTGGACTTAGACTCAAGGCTGGTTGATTTTCCTCGCAAGGGCCTCCGTGTTTGAGTCGACTTTGGGACAAACGAATAGTGGAGACCTAGGTGGTTGGGTGCTGTTCTGCGCTTGCCACAGTGAGATTAAATTCAGGAGTCCTGGGTCTTTTTGAGGTACATGACCCACATTTGCACTGAGTTTCGTTTGGGGTAGCCACATAATTGAACCTTTGAACTTCGGGTTGATTGGAGTGGGCAGCGCCTGCAGGGCATCCACAGAGGATGGACTAGGAGAACTTTGGACAAATGCGATCCAGAAGAGAGCCAGATTTTGAAGTTGATACCCTTTTTGGGATTTGGAAGGAACCCGAACACACCCGGTACGGTATATACGAGGGTTCGTCATTTGGAGAACACAATCCATCAATCCCAGATGCGGAAGCCTCAACCTTTTCTGACTCGCGTTAAATTCTTTTGCGTTAGGATTTTCAGGTGGTTGGCATGTCAATCCCAGCATCCGTGGAAGAGAAGTTGAGGTCGCAGAGTTTCCGCCATCCCGACAAAAACATGTTGCATTGCATAGACTAGCGGCCTGTTCTCATCGTCAGCCATTGATTTCACATATGCATGCATGTGCACGTGCGTGCACACTTCTCACAGACGTTCAATACATCTTAAAGACTTTGGTGGCGATGCCGCGGTTTTGCTATAGGACGATTGCCATGTTCAACCAAACAGAAGGAACACAAAGGTGCCTGCCAGCCAAGAAATGACCCAAGACTCAGGTACCCCTAGACTTGCTGGAGCGGAATTTTGGGAGGATGTACTCCAAGAGCAACATGTGAGATGTCCCTCTTTGTCGCTGTCTCTGTCTGATTTCTGTCAAAGTGTTTTTTGTTTTTCTCTCCCTCCTTCTGTCTCTCTCTCTCTCTCTCTCTCTCTCTATCTCTCTCTCTCTCTGCATTTTGGACTGTCCGTTGCCAGCATATGGCTGGGAGGCCTACATTTCACAGCAAGGGGCCAGGGGTTTCTTCAGCCCACGTTTTGGGCTTTGCAGAGAATTCAGCTCAGGTGCTTTGGTCTTTTGCGCTGGGCCTGGCTCTGCTGGGCCTCTGCTGGAACTTCATGTTCCTGGGAGGCGCTCATAGGCGTTGATCCCATGGTAACCCTCATGACTCTGGCAGGTTTTTGGTCAACGTCCCGTGGAGTTTTCGGCGCACATCGGGGAGCCCCATCTTTTGTGCGAAGGTTCTGTCGTCAAGCCATGTTCGATTTGTTGAATTTGCTGGAGTGCTCTACTGGAAGCCATGAGACCCAAAACACCGGGTTCTCCAACAAGCACTAGACATTTCAACGGGATCGCACCAAACGAGCCGTGCAAAAACCAGGCTGCTTGAAATTCGGATATCATTGGCCAGTTGCATCTTGTTTTTTGGGCTCCCAACCGAAACCCTGATGCGATAGAAAGGCGCATCCTCTGTTTTTGGGTATTTTCCATGGATTTTGGGGGGACCAATCCAAACCAATCCAAACCAACAAATGGCTTAGTTGGTTTTCCGTTTAAAACACCTAGACACCTGAAACGGGTCGGGGGCACCCACAAAGCACAGACGCAGACACCAGCCTCGACCTCGGAGGCACCGCGATGCTGGGCAGCACCCACGAAGCCTCGGAGGCGCTGAAGCTGCAGGCGGTTGCTGCGCCTCGGCAAGGGGTCGTGGCTTGGGGATGGGTGGCTGGGGGGTGGCTGGGGGGTGGGTGGGGGGTGGGTGGGTGGGGGGTGGGTGGGGGGTGGGGGGAAAGAAGCGGGTTTGAAGCATCCGCCCTGACTCCCATCAAACTTCTCGCGCCGCATTTGGCTGTGTCAAACAAGTGAGGGGCTCCAAAAAGCTGATCCCGTTTGGTACCCTGCCGCCTTGTGTCGCCTCTTAACACTGACCGGGATGCCAAAAAGGGTTCCAGGTCTTGAGGATTCCCCGAAGAACACGTGAATGGGATCGGAATGGGATCGGCTACACACTTCAACCGTGAGGCATGCATGGGATGTGCGTATCCGACAGCATAAAAGGGGCTCAATCATTAGGGGATCGAAGCTTCCCATTGGGGTACGTTGTACTGGATGTGGAGCGTGTCTTAAAAATTGGGACACCAAACAGAATGGGAAACGTTTGGTTTCCTCTTGGCTTCCCTTGAAAACCACTCCTTAAAGGGTTAACTAGAAAAAACCAACAGATGTGGTAGAGAAACCGCCCAGTGTCCACTTGAAACCCGAACCGCAAAATCGTTCACTTGGGGGTCGGGTAGTGGTTCTCTAGTCTCCCGACAAGTCTTGGCACCCCAGCTACCTAGCCACAAACCGAAACAAAAATGACCAGAAACCAAGCCCAAGCCCTAAAAAGTGGCCTTCTCCCAACTGTAACCCCCAAGCCACCCCACTCATAGCTGATTCTTCCTTTCGAAGGAGGGACGCATTGAACTTTTGGAATTTCAACAATAATTTACATTTTGAATACTTATAAATAAATATGCTACGCCCCTGCCCTGGTGCCTGGGTTTTGCTTGATTTCAGCGCGCAGGCTGTGGAGTTTAGATTTTTTGCAATAGGTTTTAAGCACAGACGAATGGGCTTGCAGTCTATCATAGCAAGATCCGAAATGTCCCAAGATTTTACTTCAACTATATTTGGAATTTTGAATGTAGTTTGGTTAGGATATAGTTTTCAAAAACGTGCTTATGCTCAACATTGCTCAACTACAGCTTATATAAGCAAATCCTTTCCAAATAGGAGCTACATGAGAATATAAGTATAGTTTCGGGCAACCTCCAACTAATCTTCAACAAAAGAAGTCAGGAGTTGATTCCCAAATATAGTCTAAGTCAAGTGTTAGATATAATCTAATACGAACACAACTCAATTAGCTTTTCATAATAATAGTAAAATAGAGACTACTTCTCAAATTTAGTTCATATTAAATATAGCTAAACATTTAAGGGACTTCTACAAGGACACTTGAAATACGATTTGTGTTATTTATATCCTGGCCCTTTTGCAGCATAAGAAAGGTCCGAAATTAAACTTGTTAGACGGTGTTCCAAAAGGACATTTTAAGGGAAGAGAGGTTCAAATTCTAAAACTATTTCGAAACGGGGATTCTAGCTTGCACAAGAAAAGAAAATCCATTCTATCTCAAAAGGCGGAGGTAGTAGATGAGCAAATGTGGAGAGGTAGTTCAAGAGGGGGGTGGTGACGGTCTGTGAACATACATATGTATATATATATATACACATACATACATACACAGATATATAGTACCCCTAATGTTCATAAAATTATGTAAAATACAGTGTTTTTGAGCATTACGCCTACCTTTGTTTACCTCCTGGAAAAGGGTCAACATGCTTCATAGCTATCATGAAGCAAACCGCTCACCAAAAGCACTTGAAGGTTTGTCTATCTAATAGCTTGAAAGTGTTTCCACTGGAACGCTAAGCACTTGACAGTATTTTACCCTGGATGGAAAAAAACAAGATTGAAGATGACGCAGAACACTTTCCTGAGAATTGTCAATCCTGGCCAAACCCAAACAACATTCAAGTTCTTCTCACACTTGAAAGTGCTTTACCACTGGATTGAGGATTCAATATCGAGGATTGCACAAACAACAACTTTCCTGATAATCATCCATCCTGGTCAAACCCTCAAAATGATCAAGTTGTTCTAAAACTTCGAACGTATTTTTTATTACTGGATTGCAGATTCGAGAGTATTGGGACATTTTTTTTTGTTTAAATAAGCATTATGGGATTCAAGATTCAAGATTCAAGATTCCCAGCAACATATTATTTTGAAATCTTGAATCTTGAATCCTTTTTTTAACTATATAGATAGGATGCAATATTCCAGAATTCCAGCAAAGATTGTATTGAAATATTGAATCTTGAACTCCAGATTGTCACATTGAACGTCTCCCAGCAATCTTGGGTCCAGAATTCTTAACTGTAGAATTGTGGCACACCCCCTTCCTTGGTACGCAAAAAACATCAAAATTACCTGAACAATGACTGAAATCAAGCAAAACCTAGGCACCAGGGGGGGGCGTACCATATATATATATATACACATAATTATCGAACACTTAACAAATTTCAATTCTGCGACACGTATACAATATATTTCTATTCCACTTTGCTTTTGCTGTCTCGCTCTCACTCACTCACTCACTCACTCACTCACTCACTCACTCACTCACTCACTCACTCACTCACTCACTCACTCACTCACTCACTCACTCACTCACTCACTCACTCACTCACTCACTCACTCACTCACTCACTCACTCACTCACTCACTCACTCACTCACTCACTCACTCACTCACTCACTCACTCACTCACTCACTCACTCACTCACTCACTCACTCACTCACTCACTCACTCACTCACTCACTCACTCACTCCCACCCACCCACCCACCCACCCACCCACCCACCCACCCACCCACCCACCCACCCACTCACTCTCACTCTCGCTCTCGCTCTCGCTCACGCTCACGCTCACGCTCACGCTCACGCTCACACTCACACTCTCACTCTCACTCTCACTATCACTCTCACACTCACACTCACACTCACACTCACACTTACACTCACACTCACACTCACACACTCACACACACTCACACTCACACTCACACTCACACTCACACCCACACTCACACTCACACTCACACTCACCCTCACACTCACACTCACCCTCACACTCACACTCACACTCACACTCAGGGTGAGGGTGAGGGTGAGGGTGAGGTTGAGGTTGAGGGTGAGGGTGAGGGTGGGGGTGAGGGTGAGGGTGAGGGTGAGGGTGATGGTGAGGGTGGGGGTGAGGGTGAGGGTGGGGGTGAGGGTGAGGGTGAGGGTGAGGGAACTCACACTCTCACTCACACTCACTCTCACCCTCAGGGAACTCACACTCTCACTCACACTCACTCTCACCCTCACCGTCACCCTCACCCTCACCCCCACCCTCACCCTCACCCTCACCCTCACCCTCACCCTCATCACCCTCACTCTCACTCTCACTCTCACTCTCACTTTCACTCTCACTCTCACTCTCATTCACCCACTCACTCACTCACGCACTGTTTTCTCTCTCCTCTCTTTCTCTCACTGTCACACATGGCACGAGGTGCACGTGCTTTCACTTGCAGAGATCCCTTCATGCGAGAAAACCTAGGGCTATGACATGTCCGTGCAAAGTATTACAACCTTATCCATGGTTGCTTTCGTAGGGATTCCTGATTTTTCGATCGGCGCCATACTTCACCCAGACACACTCATGAGAGGACCCCAAGTGAGTTTCCTGTTTCGATCTTGGCATGATTCAATTTGAACCCCCAATTGTCAGACAAGAAGAAATTCAACCCCCCCCTCCCCGCCACCCACTCCCATAATAAGTATCAAATTATAATCCCAAACAGATTAATGGTGCTCGATGTTCATAGGACCTCATTGTCTTCCTCACCGCGGCGGCTGCCTCGCTGGCGTCCATGCCGCTGGTTCTTGCCATGGGCCCGGGCCCTATACTTGTGCCGTTGGGGTCTCCCAAATCAAAGTGGGGAGGTCTCCCTCTTCTGGGATTTGCAGCCCCTCGTTGGATTCCATGTCAAGAAAGAAGCTAGAAGGCATATACCTCGGACTCCAATTGATTCGCAAAGGTCGTGCCGACCCCCTTCCACACACACAAACACTTCGGATGTGGGGCCACTCCTGATGATCTTCATTCATTGTTCCATTTCCCAATTGTTGGGTGGAATTGAGAGCCCGAAGAAATATGTATATCACCAAAAGTCAACAAGATGTAGTCAGCAAATCCTAACCATGTTCGAACCAAAGGTCAATGGCTCCGGGCGCTCTCCCTCGCTCGGGCTCTGCGGAGTTTCCGGTTCACTAGGCTGGCGCCAGCTGCAGCTCGCGGTGATGGGCTTGGCGGTCACCACTGCCAGACCCTCAGCGAGACCTTCGCCGCTTCGCCTTGACAGGGCTCCTTAAACGATACATTTTGCAACCATTTGAAACATGTCTTTTTCCAACAAAATAAACGGAAACCTCCAGTTACAAGGCAATGTTCAGGTGTATAATGTAAGGATCGCTGCTTGAGAAGAGTCCTGGTGCTTGGCATGTCCTGCATGGTTCCTATGATTGCTCATGAAATACGTGGGACCCATTGGAGCTCAAGTGAGACCGAAATTCAAAAGCGTGGCCCCTTTCAGGCGAAGCAGGCGGCTAGTTCAACCCCCTCTCGTCAAATCTGCCTGTTGCGTGCGCCTGCCTTTTTTTTTTTGCGTGACATGCACCGCTTCCTTTTTGTTGGTTCTACGGGTTTTTTGAGGTTCCCATGCCAGTTCTCAAGGGTCGTCGTGTTGCTCTGTGTGCTGCTCCTACTTGCATGCTTTTGTTGCTACCTCAAGTAAGCAAAGGCCGAAGCAGCCAGTTCACACTTGATCATGCCAACGTGTTTTTCGGGCTTCCCCAACCTTTAAGGCGTGGGAATCCCAAATTTGGGGAGGCCTACGGATGACGGAAACAGCGCAGCAACGACTAGAGGGCCATGACAAAGGTTCTCCCTTGCTTCCTTCGTATGCTTATCCTCCCAAGCAAAAAAGATCGTCAGCTTCCATTGGAGTGATCGGGCGCAGTCCCAAAAATCTTTTCCACCAAGGCGCTGGTGCTGGCAGTGTTGCAGGTTCTGGACAAGAAGTAGGCGCTAGACCGTGCCCAAAGGTTTGTCTTGGGCCGTTTCTACTGTTGTTTATGCTTAATTCAATATTCCTTGTCTTTCATTTTCTGACTTGTCTTCTCTTGTCGGCTTTTTTCTATGTGTTTGTGCATGTATGTGTGTGTGTGTGCCCAAAGTCTGAATGTCATTTTGCTTGGAAGCATGCTTTTTTGGTTGGATCCCACTCTCTTCACAAGTTACGTCTGTATTTTGGCAGTCTGCGCAAGTACATTTTGTCATGCATGTTGTCTCAGGGTTATTTGACACCCACTTCTATTGGGACACACCCTGTCGCCTATTTTTGAAAGACCCTAATCTCCTTTGCAAGAACGATTTTTTGTAGTTTCATCTAAGGCTACAGGGAACAGGGCTCAATGTTACGGGATGCGCTTGAACTGCAATGGATTCTTAGGTTTGTTTCCGGTTGAGGACCTTTTGTTCAACACGCCCTCCAAAGTTTTTCCATGGTGCGTAGATAAGCGTGGCAGCCAGGCGCTTCTGGCGCCTTCCGAGATCTTTGACGGGTCGGTTCCGCAGAATCCGCTGATGAGAAACTTGTTGCCTCAGGCTAATGCGCCTTCCTCTCCCACCAAAGGTGGGGCCGAGGTGCGCAGTGCGCTCCTCAAGGTGTCTTGCAGGTTGTCTCAAATTAAACCGGGACAGGACATTTGAAGCCTGTTGTTGGAGGGTTGAAGAGGGTTGCGACTGCTGAGTCTTATTTGCTGAACATGGTTTTGAGGGCACTGGTTCGCCCAAGTGAAGTTGTGCAGTAAGAGTGTTGGCAGGTCAAGGGGGGCCGGCCTTGTGTATCATTGGGAGCGACGCTTTTTTGCAGACTCGAGAGCACCCAGTCAACAATCCGGAACGGCTCGGATTTCCTGCATGATCAGTATTGGCAGTGCAATGACGGGCTATGTGCCCAGATCGGCTCGGTTGCAGGCAACCGGCTCGGTTGCAGGCATTTTCGGCCGGATTTTCCTCGCTCGGACATTTTGTTTGGCTTGATAGGAATTGAAGTCAGTGGGCAGTTCTGAGAACGCTCTGCACAGGCCCTGCTTGTTGTCTTTCAGGCTGGGAGTGGCAAATGGGCAGCGTTTGGCTTTCCATACTGTAGCTGTACAGAGAGGCCTCCGTGCGCTGAAGGCTTGACGAGGACGAAGAATATCTGTGCGGGCAGCGAGGGGTTCTGACTACCATGTGTCGGAGCCTTTTTGTGGTCTCCTACACCTCCTTGAACCTTGAAGGACGCCTGGATGTCCACCCAAGAATCGCATCTTTGACCGGGGCATGCGTCATGTCAACATATCTTTGACGCTAAACAATGTGATCCATGAGCCTTGGGCAATCCAAAGCATGGCAGGCTCCGTTGGCCGTTTGTGGGTTGTGCTGGGTTGAGCGTTCGGTGGAAATCCAGCGACATTTTTCTAAGGAGAGGTCCACAAGCTTCTTTGTTCCCTGCTTAGCCTTCAGTTCTCTTGCTTGCATGGCGTTTCCAGGGCGGCGTACTTTTTGAGCTACGCAGTTACTGATACCAGGTTCGACACAAAGGCAGACCAGGCGCACACCCGCCGGCCGCGCAGCTTCCTTGCTCATGGTGGCAATTGCACAAGCTAGATGGATTATGCTTTGCATCCTTCTTGCCGTTTGTCCGTTCAAACGCAACTTGAGCCAATGATGCAGGCGATGCCCCTTGTCTCACACATGAAACCCACACCTGAGAACTGTGAAACTGTGATAGGAGCAGATAATTTCGACGGCATATTCTAAGAAAGAGGAGCTGGCGGTACGGCACGTGAAGCGCCGGGTTTCCACTTGCCAATTTCAGCTCTGGCTCTTCCGGCGCGACCTTTCGACATGAATGCAGAGGACTATCCGTATTTTGAGACGCCTGGAACAGGTGGGTGGTGGGTATGTGTCAAAACGAATAGGGGGAGTTCAAAAATTGGCTCCTCTTGGCTTCTCCAAAAAAGACGGACCCAGCTCCATGTTGTAGCTCAGAGGCATCCACAAAGTCCCATTTGTAATTCAAAGTATCACCTTCTTGGCTCGTAAGCGAGCTTCCTTCGGTTGCATGATGTGGTGATGCTTAAAGGGGGAGTAAAGGGGCTTGATGTGCAGGGACCCTCCCATCGCTTCTCGTGTAGCGGACTCATCGTTTCTCCCGCTGATTGAGGCTGCAAGTGAGACAAGTAGCCATGATGAACCATGGCGGAATCCATGTTTCCCTGTAAGATGTATATAGGGAGCAAGGCCTCTCGTGTTGATTTGGCGACTCGTGTTTGACAAGTTGAATACAGCCAGAATGCCCTTCCTGCGCCATGAATGTGAATGTTCACTTGCCCAGTGGAGATGGTTGCTCCATAGCAGTCTCACCAGCGACACTTGTCAGCGAGCTAAAGGCTGCGGCGCAGCAGCATTTCCAGCGCCGCTTGACGCTCACTGCCAACGGCCAGCAGCTTGATTTAACTGCTACGCTAAGCGAGGCCGGGATACAAGATGGGGATTCGGTGCTAGCTGTTGTGCAGCTGGGCAAACTGGCTGCCACCTTGAACGCATTTGCTTGGCATGGACAGGGGGGCGAGGTTGTCACTTGGGGTGATCCAGAGTCGGGCGGGGACAGTAGCCAGGTGCAAGAGCAGCTGAGGAACGTCCAGCACATCCAAGCAACTGACGGTGCTTTTGCTTCCATTCTTGCATCTGGGGCTGTTGTGACCTGGGGTAGTGCAGCACTCGGCGGAGACAGCAGCCAGGTGCAGCAGCAGCTGAGGAACGTCCAGCACATCCAAGCAGCTGCCAACGGTGCTTTTGCTGCCATTCTTGAATCTGGGGCTGTTGTGACCTGGGGCAATCCCGAATATGGCGGAGACAGCAGCCAGGTGCAAGGGCAGCTCGGGCATGTCCAGAACATCCAAGCAACTGCCGGTGCTTTTGCTTCCATTCTTGCATCTGGGGCTGTTGTGACCTGGGGTGCTCCAGACTACGGCGGAGACAGCAGCCAGGTGCAGCAGCAGCTGAGGAACGTCCAGCACATCCAAGCAGCTGCCAGCGGTGCTTTTGCTGCCATTCTTGAATCTGGGGCTGTTGTGACCTGGGGTGCTCCAGACTACGGCGGAGACAGCAGCCAGGTGCAAGAGCAGCTGAGGAACGTCCAGTGCATTCAAGCAACTTATGGTGCGTTTGCCGCCATTGTTGAATCTGGGGCTGTTGTGACCTGGGGTGATCCAGAGTGGGGCGGAGACAGCAGCCACGTGAAAGAGCAGCTGAGGAACGTCAAGCACATCCAAGGAACTGGCCGTGCTTTTGCTGCCATTCTTGAATCTGGGGATGTTGTGACCTGGAGTGAGCCAGGTGTTGGCGATGATAACAGCCAGGTGCAAGAGCAGGTGGGGCATGTCCAACTCTTGCGAGCGACTGAATGTGCTTTTGCTGCCATTCTTGATTCTGGGGTTGTTGTGACCTGGGGTGATCCAGAATGCGGCGGAGACAGCAGCCAGGTGCGAGAGCAGCTGAGGAACGTCCAGCACATTCAAGCATCTTATGGTGCTTTTGCTGCCGTGCTTGAATCTGGGGCTGTTGTGACCTGGGGCGATCCAAACTGTGGCGGAGACAGCAGCCAGGTGCAGGAGCAGCTGAGGAACGTTCAGCACATCCAAGCAACTGACGGTGCTTTTGCTGCCATTCTCGAATCTGGGGCTGTTGTGACCTGGGGCGATCCAAAGTTTGGTGGAGACAGCAGCCAGTGTCACAAGCTGATGAGCTTGTGATTCGGTGCTGTTGCAACATGAACGGACCAAGTCTGTGCTTCTCAAGGCGTGCAGCAAGCAGGGAGCAGCATGTGCAGGATTAGGTGGCGTATGCATGTTAACAGCAAGATAATTCTGTTCCCCTGATCTCACAGTATTTTTCGAGGCGTTTTCGAGGCCCTTGGTACGCCGCGCATGGCTTTTTGTTGGGTTCACTCTTGCAAACGTCCACACAACAAGTTTTCAGCACGGTTGCAAAACGTCATATTGCTCAACCTGTGGAATGGGTGTGGTTCCTGATGTTGCTCGCTTACCATCGGAATGCATCTCATATTATATATATATATATATATATATCATGGAGCCATGCTCACACGTGTAGGCGCCATTATCCTTTCAGGTGCCACACGTAGTTGCAACCCGCAGGAGAGATGACGACGAACAAAGCCGGGGCCCTGGCGTTGACCTGTCAGCTTTCGCCTCGGAGAAAGCTCAAATCGCCAGCTGCAAGTCACAAGGATGGGAGGTCCCCGGGCTACGGCCTTGTGTGCATATATCTGTCAAACATAGGGCTGTCAAAGTCAGGTAATGACATTCTGAACGCATGGTCGTTCCCCATGCTTTCCCCACAGCTCCGCAGCACCTGGTTCTTTCAGTATGGATTTGGCCGTATTGAGCAAGTTTCAAGTTTTACATGTTTTTCGCATAGTCTCAGGTTTTGAACACATTTCAAGCCCAGAACACAGCCGGTATCGTTGGACAGAGGGCGCCATGGGTAGATTCCCTTCTGCAACGGAATGGCTGAATCAAGCAATGACTGCCATGGAGCCAGACCGAGCAGAGATTTTGATGGGAGGTTCTTGAATCCTTTGCCAACACATGCTCTTTCTGAAGGTTTCTGCGAACCGTGGATCTGACATTTCGCTTGTCAATATTGCATCACCATGCTCATGTTGGAGAAAACTTCTTCAGAACAAGCAAATTAATGAAAAGAGTTGGAGATTCAGGCTGCGGACAACACTTTCAAAAGGAGCATTTTGAGAAAGCACTTGACGAGGAACAACTCCAGGATTCAAAGCTCCACATGGCGAGAGCAAGAGACTGACAAACAACGCAATGGGAACAAGCTCGAGATCCATGATGCGGACAACACCTCTGGAATGGCTTCTCCGAAAACCCTGCTTGATTTTTCTCCCTCAAGGTCTGAATGTACCATGCTCATTTTTGTTGTAGGTCTTCTCTGAATCCTGCCGCCTACGTGTGTCCTCATCGTTGACGTAAGCCAGACGCTTGCATTTGTGTCGTGTCAGGGACCCTAGCCCTAAACCCGAAACCCAACAATCCTTGGACTAGTCCGTCAGTTGGAGGTCAGCCTCAGGCTGTCAGAAGGGGCAGCTCCTTATGAGGTGCCTTTGGTATGCTTTGTAAGGGTACCCATTTGGGGGGAACCAAATTGAAACCACTCCTTATGAGTGTTCTCCCGTTGGGAGTTCAAAGCGGTTTGTTGCAGATTGTACGGCCAGGCCTGTCTTGCAGCCTTTGCCCGGTCTCAGGCGAGCGGGATGGTTTCGGCACGGTTGGGACTCCGGGTATCTATGCGTTTTTTCTCCGATTTTAGTTCTCCTTTTGGCTGACGTACTTTTGTGCGCGTTGATTGAGTTGGGTTCCACTTCTGCTTGCTGCGTGAGAGAACGTCGGGAACGCAGGAAAGCGGGGGCCCTTTGTAGCTTTTGAACCTTTGCTCCACGCTTTGCAACTCGGTCTTAACGATCCAAAGGACCTGCAAAGGTTGGAGACCTGATTTGGCCCTTTTGCAGTGCATTATCCAGCACCCCAGTCAGTCGAGGCTTAGGCTCGCTGAAGTTCGAAGATCATGGCCTTGGTTGTTGCAGAGAAGTGGAGCGGTTTTCGTGGTTTACACTAGGTTTTGGAAGGGAGCTCGAGGGAGGTCAATTGAGGGACCGCTCCGCAT